TTCGAGCATTACCATACATGAACTGTACTTAAACAAATGCTGTTACTCTATGATACATAGTGCAGTCCTAAAACTTTCTGGAAATCTTTAATAATATCTAAAATATCATTTTAAAAAAAGTATACTCTTCAAACTTAAGTTTTCAGAGGTATTAAAGTTTATTTATCTAGTAACTAAAATTTGCGTTTTTCTGTTTCGTGCGCGATTTCACTTCAAACTGAATTTGTTCTTTGATAACCTTACTAATATATAGTGTATTTGCTTTATTGTAGATTGTAAAAATAATTCAATACTGCTGAGGTTCAACACCATGTTTAAATCTTTTATATACAAAACAAGGAAGTTGAATATACTTGATTAAACCTAATTTAGCTATGAATAAGTTGATACTTTTAACTTATATTGTTTCAATTGGTAATCTTTTCCTGAATGTGACTGTATGTTTTGTAAAAAAATCCTCACCATTTCAGTTTAAATATTTCTTATAAGTTAATAATTATTATTTACTTATAAGAAATATTTAAGAAAAGAAAACAAATGGTCTTTTTTTGTTGTTGTTGTTAATCTGTGTAATTAATAAACTTTATTTTATGAAATGTTGCTTATTAACAATTTTTTTTGTTAGTTATATAAATTTATATAAAAATAATTTGTTATCAATAAATTAGGTTTTAGTAAACTTTTTCCTACAGGAACTGTTCTATTTACAATGGTTCTTAAAATTAGATCTGTATGGGTCATCTTACATTTTTCTAGTTTTTAGATACCATTATCTACATCATGTAAATAGTTTAAATTTGCAATTTTAAATAATTATTATAATACTTTAGAAGGTAAAACCTCATAAGATGTTAATCCCTAAAGTTCTGGAATGAAATAGCCTTGTAACTTTTACCCAAAACTCAACAAGTTTTTTGTAGAACTATTTATAAGATTATTTCTTATACAATTTATAAACTTGCATTACAATTAGTCAATTGTAATATTTTTTTGTTTTAATTAATATTTTGTAATATATTTTGATATTTCGCTTTAATATTAAGTTAATATTTTTCTACTTATCAACAATAGATAATAGTAAAAACTGTTTTAACAGAGATTTATCTTGTTAAAACAGTGTTTATTATTATTAACAGTGTTATCTTGTTAAAACAGTGTTTATTGTTATAAACAGTGTTTTCTTGTTAAAACAGTGTTTATTATTATTAACACTGTTACCTTGTTAAAACAGTGTCTATTACTAATAACAGTGTTGTCTTGTTTAAACAATGTTTACTGTTATTAACAATGTTATCTTGTTAAGCTCTATAAAAAGTTGGACACTTATTAAGAGTTACAAAAAGTTATGAGCTTATTTAAATGTTTATTTAAATATTTGAGATTATAAATTCTAGGCCTTTATAGTTGAAAGTTTGAAATTGCAAGTTTAATTTTTATAGATAATAGATATGGAATGAAACTGTAATTATATAAAATTTGTATTTAAGTATATAAATGAAAGATTTTTGCATAAGACTATGTAATATTTACATAATGTTTGTAAAAATCAATAAAATCTACAAATGGTATTCCACATGCTGTTAGTTAAAATATAATGAAAAATGTATATATATGTAAAAAAAATAAAAACAAAATGATATACACAGTTTGTTCAAATATATATAGTTTGTACATATATATACACAGTTTGTACAAATATATACACAGTTGGTACAAATATATACACAGTTTGTACAAATATATACACAGTTCATACAAATATATACACAGTTAGTACAAATATATACACAGTTTGTACAAATATATACACAGTTGGTACAAATATATACACAGTTGGTACAAATATATACACAGTTTGTACAAATATATAAACAGTAAGTAGAAATAAATACACAGTTGTATATACAGTTACTACAGTTATATAGTTTTATGTAGATTTTAAAATTTACAGGTTATTAACTCATATTAATTGATTTTTATTTCTTAAACTTTTCAGGCATTTGCTGAAGGTGCTAATAGTGCAGCTAGCTTACGAATCAGTAGAGAAGATGAACTGAAGCAGCATTATTCTCAAGTATGGAGGGCATTATTTGTTTTACTGGGAATTTACTTGTTTTTTGTAGTTGAACAATTGATGAAGGCAAAAGCATTATGCTTCGGCAAGGTTTTTTTTTTATTATTTTTATTTTTTCATTGGATGTTCAGCTGTTTTATTTGTTAGATAATCTTTTATTGTGCATTGCATTTTATAGAAAAAGATGCAAACATGTTTATTTTATAAATATTTATGTTTTATATGTTCATTTTATTAGTAACTAATAATTATAGTTTCTATTGTCTATATTTTTATTTAATTTTCAAGTCTCATGGTCATAGTCATGGTAAAAAAGAGCGTAAGTATTCTACAGAAAAAGATAGCGATGTATCCTCTGAGAGCAAACACTTTATTAAAGAGCCTAAAAATGATGAAAGTTTAAAAAAAGAGTTATCAGAAGAGAAGGTATTATTCAAATTTCTTTAACATTTTATTATTTGATTATTTTAAAGATTTGAATTATTTAAAGCATTATTGATTATTTAAAGCATTATTGATTGTTTAAGTTTAAATATTTTAGATGAGCATGTGTGTGCGCGCGTGTGTGCAGGGTTGAAGTGTACCATTTTTTATAACACACCCCCTATATAACTTTCACATGGGTCAATCATTTAACTTTCAGACAAAAACCATGGTATTCAAAATTGTTTTGTTGAAGCTAATGACAGTAGTTGTATTACAAACTTTTACTTTATGATAGATGATACTGGCACTCAATCTACATTAGGGAATTATTATGGGACATCTCAATCACGGTCTTCTATAATAACAGGTCTTGATATGAACTGAAGACCAATTTCTAATACTGTGTTTACATTTTCATCTTTTAACAATAAGACAAAAGTTTGCGTTTGCGCTTTTTTAATAAATCTTTGAAATTTGATTGGTTTATAAATTAGATAGCGCAACTTCAAGATATTAACGTTGTAAGGTTCAAGACGTTAACAAGGTCAAACTAACAATAAGAAATTTTAATAATTAAAAGGCCTTTAAAATGCTGTGTACCTCTTTGCAAGTCGAACTATCGCTCTACTACAACAAAAATATCAATTTACAAACTCCCGAAGAATCCAGAGGAGAGAAAAAGATGGAGTGATGCTATCCCGAGAACTAGTTTTATTGTACCATACAGTCAAATGCAAAATATTCTGTCTAGTTTTTTACCCACACCAGCAAGTAAAGTTAGAAAAACTGTAACTTCAAGCAGTTTTTGAAACATTTTACCAGATGAGTTAAATGATTTTCTATGAACTTATATTTGATATTCAATCTTTGTTAAGTAATAATAACGATGTTATTGTTTTCCAGCTTAATAAAAAAAGTTTACACATAAAATTAAAAATATACAAACTTGGTGTTCCATTATTTATTTTAGAAATTTTCTATGATTATTCATTTATAGCTTATATTAATGGCACAACTTGTAATATTTCATCTTTAACTGTAAACAAATTAACGTTAATAAAAACAAAATCAGCTTTATTTGAAGTAGTTAGATTTTTAAAAAATAAAGAAAGTTCGCATCAGTCAAATATTCTATTCGAGCACCTTAATGTTATGAGAAAAGTTAATGTTGGTGAAGTTTTATATACTCTAGATATATGTAGAGCATACGAGTATTTTGCTATGCGACAAAGTTTATATGATCGTTTGTGTATTGACTACAAGTTGCCAAATATATGGACTTTAACATGATTGACTTCAAAAATAAGCTCGGTGGAGGACCTAAATTTTGTAAATAGTATTTTTATGAATTTAGATCCATTGAAAAGAACTTCCATACTACTAATTGATGAGGTTTATGTCAAATCTTCATTACTTTCACAAAGAGGTACTTTGTTTGGTCAAGTAGTAAACTACCCTGAAAAGTTAGCTAAAACAATTTTATCATTTATGATTAAATGTCTTTTTGGAGGTCCAGAATTTATATGTGGAGCTCAACCTGTTGCAAATCTTTCCTCTGAATTTTAGTTTGACAAGCTCAATACGAAACAATCAAATGACAGAAAAGACTGGCGAGCTTCAATTTTTGAACAATCGAGAACTAACTTTGGCTATTTAGAAACTTTATATAAAACCGAGTGCAATAGTCTATTTAAACTCTCTAAACTTAAAGCTAAATCAGTTCATCCAAAACCAATAGAGAGACAATCTGTAAAGTTTTGTTTGTCTGTTTTTTGCAAAGAATCAATAGCTTCATTAAAAACATATCCAGAGATTGAAAATAAAACATTTGAAGGTACTGCTGTATTTATTGAAAAAGTTATTTCTTTTTAGAATGTTGTTAATGTCAAAGCACCTGGCGCTGACATTCGGTTTAGAAATGAATACAAGATATCGCTGAACTGTCAAATTATATGAAACCTACAGGTAAATGTGTAAAACAGCTTATGCTAGATACTAGCAATGCAATAGCGCATACATGTTATGGCTTAATTGATCTTGTAGAAACTTTGTTGAGTAATGGAGCAAGGTATGTTTTATTAGGTTGGTTTTCAACAGATCCTCTTGAAAAAGCTTTTTCTAAGCTTTGACAGGAATCTGGAGGTACTTACTTTATAAACGCTAAATCTGTAATTGAAAAAATTGATATTTAACATTTTAAACTGATATTACAACTTGACGTTTCTGTTGATGGTATTGATGGTCATACTTGTGACACATGTTTTAGAGATATTTCTACTGATGAAAAAGAACTGCTGGATGATATATATGATCTTGAAAGCTCAAGTTATAAATCTACATTAATGGCTATAGTTTGCATAGCTGGCTATGTGCTAAAAAGCGAAATAAAAATTTATGACACTAACAATTATTATCATAATTATGAAAGTTATCTGAAACAGAGGCGGACTTGAAATTTTATCTGATACTCTTGTCAAATGGTCAATAAAAGGTGCTACTGGCCCTTTATACAGAACATTTTGTGTTACTCAGTTTCAGTTCATTGCAGCTAAATATAAATTTAATATCACAAAAAAATAATGCAGAATATATTCTAATATTTTGATAAAGAATTACGCACTAATTACCTCTCCCAGCAGTAGGAAAGAATCTAAAGCAAAAATACTAAAATTGTCATAATTTATGTGAAAATTAGTTTTGTAATTTATTATGCTATTTACTTGTTATTTTTTTTTATTTCCTCCTCAGCCTTAATAAAAAATTGCGTCATCTTATAAGATATCATTGCCAAACTGGATAACAGCCCAGAAATGTTCTATTTAATTCAATGTAAATGCATTATCATTAAGTTCATATGAAATAATTTTATTGTCAATATAAATACATACACTTCCACCTAGATGACCATTACATCTGTCTTTTTTATATAAACAATAACCTTCCAAATTGCAGAGAGAAGTAGGTTTGAACTGTGTTTCAGTTATGCTAATTTAGGATTAAAAGTTGCAACTGCTAGTTTAAATTTGTCAAATTTGTTGTCAATAGATGTAGCATTATAGTACATACAATTTATTTTTTCAATATTAATCATAGATAACACATGGTTAGTCTTACTGCCTAACTTTTTTGTATCTGATTTCCATAGATACCATACCAAAAGACATTATTCAGCTTTTTTTGCTCTGTATTGAGTATGAAATCCTGTTGACATTCAGCATCTGTTAAATCTGGAGATATGTATATATTTTTAAAACTTGGAAGCAGTTTAGTTTTCTGATGAAATAAGTATTTTGTTCTGTATATTAGAATCAGCTTAGTAAATAAACAATGGACCTGGCTTGTCAGAAATTTTATTTTTTAATTGTCTTATTTGCTTGGCTAAGGAGCTGTGCAATGTCAATTTTCAACTGATTTATAAATTCTACATTACCTCCAGACGCCAGCCAATTTGCTAAAAATTGACTGTTTATTATCTGATGTAGTTGGTTGAGAATTATTATTATTATATTGTTAAATTTTGCAGATTTGTGGCTACTATTAAAACTTCTTATTTTTTTAATAATTTTAATCTTTAACTATTAGTTTTCAAAACATTCTGAAAGCAGTTTTTTTTTGAAGTTTTTTTTAGCAAGATAGCAAAATAGCAAGAATTGAAAATTTTTTTTTGAAAATTTATTGTTGACTTACTGAATGCACTGCTAAACCATAAACAGAATTAACTAAGTACAGTTTCATCGCATTTTATTTATGTTTTTTTTGTTTTTTTACCATAAAATAACTAATATAAAAGAAACATGTATAATCTTAAAAAAAAAATTTAAAAATTCAAAATTTTAAATAAAATTTAATCTATTACCATCTTATTTTATTTTTAATTTTGAAGTTTTGTAAACTTAAATTAATTTTGTAAAAAGTTTGTTTTTTTTTTACACATTTTGTGCTGACCCTAAAAATAATTCATAGGCTTTTTCTGGAATGTATGTTGTAATGGTATGGTGATAGAGTGCTTATTTTATGAGCCAACCCAATGTATGAAAAACCATCACTAGCCTTGGGTACTTTGTCTGATGCAAATCCAACGTTGATTTAATGTCTAGTGTTTAGCAATGATATCAACAAAAAGATTAATACCTACCTATTAAAAACAGCTTTCACAATAATGTTGGTCCAACATATGGCAAAACATTGCAAAAATTGATTATTTTTAACCCTATCTGTCAATAATCTAAGGATTGAATATATATGAATTAACGTTGATCTAATGCATATAACCCAACTTTGATTCAATCTATATGGATCAGGGTTGAAGCAATGTATACAAGCCAACGTTACAAACACATAACTTAAATAAAATATTTTTTAAATATTAAACCACAGGCAAAACAAACATAATTAATGTCTATTGATAAATAATGTTACCATCAACTATTGTAAGATATATATATATATATATATATATATATATATATATATATATATATATATATTATATATATATATATATATATATATATATATATATATTAGGGGTGTCCACTATGCAAAAAGTTTTCAAAACCACCCCAATTGAATTTTTTCCCATTCTAGTGTTTGTGTATAATGTAAAAAAATTTTTTATCAAATTTTAATAACTATTCTAGATCCTCCTCAGAGCCCCAAAAGACAACCCCCAATTTCCTGTTTAAAACAGTATCTTCTTTAGTTAAAACACAGAGAAATAATTATTGTGAATCTCATTTTTCAAATATTTAGAAATTAAATCACAGAAATCAAGCCAAACAAAAGCAGCTTGCATAATATATGTTAAATTATCCAGTTTAACCAAGCTAGTTCTGCATTTTTGGTTAACAGTTATAGTCAAAGTATCAGACGGGAACTCCAAAACTAAAATTAAGACTGTCTTTCTGAATGTTATTAATGTTGTTTCATTATCCAAGAGTTTTTTTGCCAAAATCAGGATATTGCTGCCTGTGATTTTCAACGCCCTGCAGCAACCATTC